TGGTGATTGAATTTTTAGTTCAATGTTAAGCTGCTGTGTTTTAAACTTTAATCTGAACTGAAGAGAGTTTTGTAACCAGCCTTTTCTTTTCTACACCTCCACAACATACTTGCATCTCCAGTTGTATAGTTTCCTTCTCAAAAATCTTTCAATGCTTCTTTCCACCTTCCCCATTCCTTCTTCAATTTTATATTTAAATGTTGACACCTTGGCTCTTAAAAATGATAAAAGTACACTTTCCCCATTCAATATCCCAACGCGACTGTCCCTGAGACTTATCAGGACACAGTGCACTTCAAGGGTACCTTTGACCAAGTCAATGCTGAAACTGCTGGAATGGGTTTAAGTAAACACAATCCCCTAAGTGCATGCACATAAAACTAAACAAAAGTGAAAAACTGGAAAACATGTCCATCTCCACAGATGCACAGACCACAATGAAGTGCTGTGAAGAGTGTGATGCGACCTGCCATGACAAGGTCACAGACTCACAACTTCCTGGCAATAGAAATTAAAGACACTAAAGTGGCTGAAATGCTAGAGAAAGAATTCAGAGTCCTACTTTTAAATAGGATCAATAATCATATAGAAGACTCAGAAGCAGAGGGATGAGATAAGAAATCATTTCAGAAACTAGACTAGAAAGTTATCAAACTGAACAAAACGCTCAGTAACTTAGAGAAGAAATGAAAAACTCGGAAGAAAACTTCAGTAATGAAATTGCGACACTAAAAAGAAAATAACTGAACAGAAACTTTGAAAATGAAAGTAAAGGGTTCACACTCTGGTTTTATTCAAGTAAAGTGCTCAAAGTCATACTGAGAGCAAGACAAGAAAAATGCATAAAAGAGTTACAGATAAGAAAAGAGGAGCTCAAATCATCCCCATTTGCAGACAACATGGTTTTATACTTTATACGGACAACTTTTAACTCTGATAAGCACTTTCAGCTACACATAAAAATCAATAACTTTTACACATACCAATAACAAACTTGCTGAGAAAGAAATTGGGGGAACTATCTCATCATAATTGCTTCAGAAAATTACCCGGGAACAAACCTAAACCAGGACGCAAGAAGATCTCTGCAAAGAAAAGTTAAAACACTAAAAAGAAACTGAAGCAAACAACAGACATTAAAATTAGCTTCTCTTCTCCTGAACTGCGCAATTAATATTGTCACTAAGGGGTCACAATGGCACCTGAGTGTCATATACAGGACTGCATTCTAATAATTTTCCTAAAATACTAATGGTTTCTACTCTTTAAATTTACTATTCTGCTAAAATATGAATAGATTTCTTTGAAGAAAGCTAAGATTTCAGAATAAAAGGCTAACTGGGTGAAGGTCCTCCTTCAAGGGAATCCTGCCTCACTCTCATGCAAGGGATTCTGGGTCTAGAAACTGACTCACATCTGGTAATTGAGAGAACACAACACTGCTGTGATGGTCCAGTCAGAGTCTGGTTCTAAGACCTAGAGAGGTCGACTTAAACTGGAGTGTGACTGCAGAAGGTTGAGAAATATTTCACTCTCACACATAGTGTAATGACCCAGGGTCTCTTTTGACGGTCAAACTCTGAAGACTGCTGTGCTCCACTGTCCAGTGAGAGAAACACATTCATCTTATTTCTGTCAATTAACTGACACATTTTGGGCCCTGCAACCCTGGGATCATGTGGTTCCCTCCTCTGAACTCAAGACTGTCCAATTTGTCGGCAGCTATACTACTTATAACCCTGACCTAGAAGGAAGAACCACCCCAGGCCGCTCCAAGATGCAGGGCTCATTTATAACATTTCTTACAGCTTCAGATAAGGAAGTGTTTTTATTTCCAACAACTTAGGGAAGACAGTATCTAGTCTCTTCTTGCAAATAAAGTTCAGTGTTGCACACACAAATTTTATATCACAAATCTACTCTTACATTCAATCTCCCTTGGCCATCGATACTTGTTCTACCGAACATCCAAGATTTCTGCTTCAAATAACATATAACGTTTGATGGCCGAAGTTTTAATAAACTGGCCAAGTAAACTCAGAAGTATTCTAGCTGATGGCAGTAGATCATCAGATCCAGAGTCTCTGTTTAGTTCATCTACATCAAGAACAAGCTAAGATTGTGCTTTCTGCACACTGTTCTGGTTATTTTAAGGATCAGTTTTTGTAGATGTGCTCCATGATTCTGTCACTATAAACTGAAAAATAATGCAGCTGTCTTACTATGTGCATGACCATTTCGTGTGTTGTGCTTGCTACTCCAGCTGCATGCATGGAGAGCTCATGGGTTTTAGTCCAGTGATATATCTGATAAGTTGAGGTGGATGTCAAGCATCCGTGACATTCTTTATGAGGTTTGTCCCTTGGCACAGACTTCATAGTCTTCAGAAACAAGGAGACTAAGTCCAGAGGTAATGAGGAAGGGCTTACTCTGACAGTCAGCAAAACTTTAAAAGTCTAGTGTCCCAAGCTCTCTCGGAGTCTTTCCATGGGGTCATATCGATTGGTTTTATTTTCTACTATGTCTAAGTCAGTGTGATACTTTCAACACGTAAAAACTCTGCAAGGTTGTAAACTCAGTTTGCTTTAAAATAGAGACAATGTTGGGACTAGACATAGAAATAGTGTTCAGAAATCTACTGACCTTGTGAGTTGAGTAGAAAAAAATTTTATTTGGGGGCAGTTAAAGAAACATTATAGACCATCCTGAGATTTGAAGTCATAATTTTCATAACTTTACTTCTCTGTGTTTTGAAATAGCTGTGCAAAAGGATTATATCCTGTGTATGACAAGTTTAACAAGATTTCTCAATGGTAACAAGAACTTGACTACCCAAATCCTTGCTTATCTCATGGACACTGAGAATTTGTCTAAAGATGAGCGTTATACTCACTATACAGCGATATATGTCGGGCTCTATAGACTTATATACTGCCAGTGTATCTCTCTCTCTCTCTCTCACTTTCTCTCTCTCTCTTTGTCTTTTTGTTTGTTTGTTTGTTTTGCTTTGTTTTTCAAGAAAGGGTTTCTCTGTAACTTTGGATTCTATCCTGGAACTAGCTCTTGTAGACTAGGTTGGCCTCGAACTCACAGAGATCTGCCTGCCTCTGCCTCCGAGTGCTGGGATTAAAGGCATGAGCCACCACTGCCCAGCATGCCAGTGTGTCTTTTACCATTGGAAACTGTGTCATTGAGGCTTATAAATTTTATAAGATCAGAAATTAACTTTAATATTATCTAAACATAGAGGTTCCATGCTCCAAGTTCTGTTTCTATAGAAGTATAAATAAATAAATAAAAATATAAAAAACTTGCTTTTTGTTTCACAGTGTGAAAATTGAAGTGAAACATCCTGCTTCTGGTTTTCATTCATTTGTGATCCTCTATGTAACTGGCAAGCTAAACATTTAATAAATTCAAGGAATAAACTTTAAAACCAATAGTATAGATACAAAACACATTCCTAGAACGTGCCAAATTGTACTCAAATGAACAATAATATAAATAGTCTTCAGAAAAACCTCCAAAACCTCCATTGTTCTCTATATTTATATTTCAACACTAGAAAATCCAAGAAATCAACAATGTTTTTTATATATTAAATGTTAGTGTTACTAATTAGGCTGGGTGCCTAGAATAAATCCTAGAAAGAAAATGAAAAATGGCGACACTGAGTTTATTAGGGAAAACAATTTTCACAAGGGTAATGCATTTGATTAAGCAGAGCATATGGTCTAGAAGGCAATTAATACAAGCCCTGTGGTGTAATATTTGCCTAGATGTGTATGTTAAAGCATCCTTGTTCAGTGTCCTATTACAGTAAGATGCATTTGCAGTAGGCAAACACTGTGAGACCGGAAAAACAGAGACTGGGATCTCTGTGCCCACTGGGTGGAAAGCGGTCACCATGCCCCTTTTCTCGGGCTTTTAGGACAATTTGTTATAAAGGATGACAACAGGAAAGTAATCCTGACTGAGACTGCTCTTATGTTGATTGGCTGACACTTAATGGTTTGGATAGTCACAGAGAATTAGAAGGTAAGTAGAGGTCCTTAACACCTCTACATTCAAAAACAAAATTTAAAGTGTTTAAATTGAAAAGAGAGCTGAATCGTTCATCTAAAAATTATTTCCTTAGCACCACAGAGATTGCTAGCACCCAACCAAGGACCCTTTTCTGAATGCCAAGCAAATGTTGGCAGGCCTTGCAAAGTGTACTCTTTGTAGGTATAGAGCAATAAAATAGTGGCAATATACTCACTGTGACTTGGTTCCTTAAAACTGCTATCTTTAAAAGCACTGCATTTTCTCTGAAAAGCTTCTGTAAAGCAAAGGACATGGTCAACAAGACAAAACAACAGCCTACAGAATGGGAAAAGATCTTTACTAACCCCACATCAGACAGAGGTCTGATCTCCAACTTACACAAAGAACTTAAGAAATTAGTCATCAAAAGAACAAATAATCCAATTTAAAAAAAATGGATTACAGACCTAAACAGAGAACTCTCAACAGGAGAATCTAAATGGTTGAAAGACACTTAAGGAAATGGTCAACATCCTTGATCATCAGAGAAATGCAAATCAAAACAACTCTGAGATTCCACTTACACCTGCAAGAATGGCCAAGATCAAAAACACTGATGATAACTTAGGCTGGAGAGGTTGTGGGGAAAAGGGAACATTCTTGCATTGCTGATGGGAATGCAAGCTGGTACAGCCCCTTTGGATGTCAGTGTGGCAATCTCTCAGAAAATTAGGAAACAACCTTCCTCAAGACCCAGTAATACCACTGTTGGGTATATATCCAAAGGATGCTCAATTGTGTCACAAGGACATGTGCTCAACTATGTTCATAGCAGCATTGCTTGTCATAGCCAGAACCTGGAAACAACCTAAATGCCTCTCGACCAAAGAATGGATAAGGAAAATGTGGTACACTTACACAATGGACTACTACACAGCAGAAAAAAGATAAAGACTTCTTGAATTTTGCAGGAAAATGGATGAAGCTAGAAAACATTATTTTGAGTGAGGTAACCCAGACCCAGAAAGACAATTATCACATGTACTTTCAAAAGTGGATTTTAAACATAAAGCAAAGAAAACTAGTCTACAATCCACAACCCCTAAGAAGTTAGACAACAGTGAGGACACTAAGAGAGACTTACATAAATCTAATCTACATGGGAAGTAGAAAAAGACAAGATTTCTTGAGTAAATGGGAGCATGGGGACCCTGGGGAAAGATTGAAGGGAGGAGGGGAGAGGCAGGGAGGGTAGCAAAGAAAAATGTAGAGCTCAATAAAAATCAATAAAAAAGAAGAGATAGTGATGGATAGATGAAGGTGAGGGAACTGAAATGTGAGGAAAAAGGAGAGACAAGATGGGGATGCAGGAGGAATATGAGGAGAGACAGCTAAAATTAAGGGCCATACTCACTCATAAATGGTTTTAAACATAAAGCAAAAAAAAAAAAAACAACCCACAAATCACTATCACAGAGAACCTAAACAACAATGAAGACCATAAGAGAGACATACATAGATCTAATCAACATGGGTAGTAGAAAAAGACAAGATCTCCTGAGTAAATTGGGATCATGGGAACCTTGGGAGAGGGTTGAAGGGGAAGGAAGAGGCAGGGAGGATAGCAAAGAAAAATGTAGAGCTCAATAAAAATCAATAAAAAAGACTTCAGGGTTAGTACAGTGTAAGATCACATTATGAAGTAATAGTAAAGACTGAAAAGATTCCAAAATCACCCATTTTTCTCCTCTTTTATTGAATTTATACTTGCGCCCTTTTCCTTTTTTACAAAGTGTGATAGTTTAAATGAGAATGGTCGCATAGGCTAATGTGCTTGATTGTTTGGTTTTCAACTGGTAGACAGTTTAGGAAGGATTAGGAGATGTGACCTTTTGGAAGAGGTGTGTCACTGGAGATGAGCTTTGAGCTTTGAGTTTTCAAAAGTCCAAATCAGATCCCAGTTGTGAGCTATGTGTTGCTACTTGTGGATCAGATGTGAGTTCTCAGATACTGCTCCAGCACCATGACTGTCTGCTGCCTTATTCCCCACCATGATGACCATGAACTAACCCTCTGAAACTGTAAGCAAGTCCTCAATAAAACACTTTCTTTTATAAATTACCTTGGTCATATTGTCTCTTCACAGCAAGAACAGTGACTAAGTGACCAAATGAAAGATCTACTTTACTTGCACAAGGACCTCAATCCCATTATGTCCAATACTAGCATGAGGAATTTACCTTCCTGTAGATATTTTACAAGTCTATCATTGTGGTAGAGATCAGTAAAGGTCTTTATTTAAAAAGCTAATACAAACAGAAGGGACTCTTATGGGACACAGTTGGAAAGCCCCTAAGATATAAATGCCCTGATCACCTGCACCATCCTGCAACTAGTGAATAAAAAATACAAGTCAGCAAGGCACTTTCAGGTTTAAATACTTTCAGTCTCTTTCACTCGCGAGTGGGGGCTTAGGCTTACCTAGTTAATGTTAAAATACAAAATGCAAATGAACAAGAGATGGTATCATTAATGTATGACTTCATGGAGTTCTGCAGCTGAATAAAACTTGATAGTCACCTGGAGCAAAAAGAGAACATTACAAGAATCTCCCTCCACTAACATCTCCCTTTATTTTAAACCATTACATCTATGGTAAGGATTAGGGCATCTGGACAGACTAGCTCACATGCCTGGTAGGTTATACAAGCAACTTACTTCAGAGAAGCATCCATAACCGAGTTTGTAACTGCTGTGGGACGATGATGTGAATCCTGTCAATTGTATTTTAATAAAATGCTGATTGGCCAGTAGCCAGGCAGGAAGTATAGGTGGGGCAACCAGGCAGGAAGTAGAGGCAGGGCAACGAGAATTCTGGGAAAAAGAAAGATTCAGTCTGCAGTCATGACCCAGCCGCAGAGGAAGCAAGATAGCAAGATGTGACTGCCTCACCGAAAAATGTACCAAGCCACGTGGCTAACACAGACAAGAATTATGGGCTAATATAAGTTATAAGAGTTAATAAGAAGCCTGAGCTAAGAGGCCAAATCAGTTTATAATTAATGTAGACCTCTGTGTGATTCTTTGGGACTTAATGGTTGTGGAACCGGGCGGGACAGAAACCTTGGTCAACGTGCAACCTGGTCATCACAGAGTGTAAAATATGTCCGTATAGTTCACATCCTCTTCTTGTCTAGAGTTTTACCACTGCTATAACTTTTGTTCTCCCCCACTTCAGAAAATCCACTAAGTGTGGTCTAGAGGGAAGCTTTTTTCTTTATTATTATCATTATTATTATTATTATTATTAAAATTTTTCACCTCCTCCCATTTCCCTCCCCCTCCCCCATCCTCCCTCCCCCCTCTCTCCCCAGTCCAAAGAACAGTCAGGGTTCCCTGCCCTGTGGGAAGTCTAAGGTCCTTCCCCCTCCATCCAGGTCTAGAAAAAGGTGTGCATTCAAACAGACTAGGCTCCCACAAAGCCAGTACATGCAGTACAATCAAAACCCAGTGCCATTTTCCTTGGCTTCTCAGTCAGCCCTCCTTGTCAGTTATGCTCAGAGAGTCCGGTTTGATTACGTGCTCCGTCCGTCCCAGTCCAGCTGGCCTTGGTGAGTTCCCATTAGATCAGCCCCACCATTACATTAGGTGGGTGCACCCCTCGCAATCCTGACTTCCTTGCTCATTTTTTTCTTTCCTTCTGCTCCTCATATGGACCTTGGGAGCTCAGTCCAGTGCTCCAATGCGGGTCTCTGTCTCTATGTCCATCCATCGTCAGATGAAGGTCCTATGGTGATAAGCAAGATATTCATCAGTGTGGCTATAGGATAGGGCCAGTCAAGAGACTGGACTCTAGAGGGGTTTCCAGGTGTCCAAGGAGATGTCCCCAGGTTGTTCCTAGAGGGAAGTTTTTAAAATGAGCGTTCCATTATACTGTTTACAGCATGTCTTCCTACTGCTTACTGTGGGGTCTCAATCTAGATGCTAATGATAGCTTCCAAATGCAACAGTGACTGGAGATAGCCATCAGTTAGGAATCTGGGGAATATCTTAGTCTCTGTTGATGAATGAAATATATAGCTCCCAACTGCCTCAAGACCCAACACAAGACCATGCTATGGCTGACTTCATATCTTGCAGCAAATCTTCATACACACTACCCTAAATGTGCCGGCATGGTCTCTGCTCCCCAAAGACAATAGGAAAAGCCCCACTTCTTGACCATGGTACCAGCTGTTCCATTTTCTTTGATGGCTGCTCTTGTGCTATTTACTGTTTTTATTACTTTTCTTATGAAAAAACAAACAAAAAAACTAGCAAAGGCTTAGCTTAAAAAAAGAAAAGGTCTACTGTGACTCACAGATGAAAGGCTATCATTGGGGAGAAGGAACAGTGGCATAATTTTGAGTCAACTGATCACATTGACTATGTAGTCAGAAAACAGAAAGAAATAAATGATGGTACTCAGCTCACTTTCTCTTCTTACTCAGTCAGCATTGAAATACCTCTAGAAACACCCTTAAAGACATACTCAGCGTTTTGTCTCCTCAATGACTATAATCTTGTCACATTAAGCTAAGTCACCTGCTTAATCTTCTTTACTTCTTCACTATAGAAACCTGTGTTTCAGTCAGTGTCTACCTGACATTCTAGACCTGTCCTTCCTGATGGATTTGTATATTTTTTCTCTCTTGCTCCAGGAGCGCAGGCCTTCTGTCTTTTTATTCAGTGTAGAATAGCCAGTACAGATCATAGCCAGAGCTCGTGTTTATGAAAAGAACAGATGACTTTGACAAGCGATGGAAACCCTCTTAAAGCTTTGATTATCTCTGAGCCAATGATGAGACATCAGTTGTGATCACAAGTATTGAGCACATTCAAACCAAAAGTTGCTTCATGAAACAACTCAGATAAGAAGCTGTAATTTAGAGCAGAACAGTAATAGACTATCTGTCCTCAAGTCTCAGACAAAGGAACTCCTTGGAGAAGAGGCTATGTCTTTGGACACAGAACATTTAGAACTATCTAAAAGCCTCAAGGATTTTTAGGAAAGAAATGAGAAGTGGGGAACAGATTGTCTTTAACCTCTTTTACATATGTATCTTTTCATATTCTCTTTGCACTTCACTCATCTTGAGTTTTAGAAATTGCTTTAGACATCATTATTGAGTTGCACTCATTTCCAATGATTGTTTTTAAGCCCATGACATGGCATCTGCCCCTACTCTCTTCCATTCTCCACTTTCCCAGCTGCCTCAAAAAACTTCCCTGATGAAAGTAAAATCCCCCTCTAAGTCTTTTATTTTTACTCCAAGATATACATCTTGAAATCAAAGCTGCTGAACTTTCTTTGTCTAAACTTTTAGGCTAAAATATTTTCTGAAGAACCAAGCTGATCAGAGACATGGAGGGAAAGGAAGAAAGACTCTCACCACAGAGAAAGCTCAGGTCAGCAAATCCAGGG